CCGAGCTGGAGGCAGCACTGCAGGGGGGTCTCCCCAGAGCAGAGCAGAGCGCAGCAGAGGGGCACAATCCCCCCTCGCCCTGCTGTCCACGCTGCTGGGGATGCAGCCCGGGATGCCGGGGGCTCGCTGGGCTGCCGGCGCACGTTGCCCACTCATGGATGGCTTTCCCCCCCCAGAACCCCCATGTCCCTCTCGGCAGCGCTGCTCTCCATCCCTCCATCCCCAGTCTGTGCTGGGACCGGGGGTCACCCCCACCCGGGTGCAGGACACCGCCTTTGGCCGTGTTGAACCTCATGAGGTTTACACGGGGCCACTTCTGCCTGTCCAGGTCCCCACCCTTCCCTCCAGCATGTCGACCCTGCCACACAGCTCAGTGTCATCAATCCCACTGTCCATGTCGCCCACAAAGATTTTGAACATCACCGGTCCCAGTACCAGCCCCTGAGGAACGCCACTTCTTCTGTGCCATGCTGTGAACGCATCTCCTTCTGTAACAAGGTCATGGCTTAGCGTGCGAGGCAAAGGCTGTGGATATCGTCTACCCAGACTTTAGCAAAGCCTTTGACACTGTTTCCCACAGCATTCTTCTGGAGGAACCGGCTGCGCATGGCTTGGATGGGTGTACGCTTTGCTGAGTAACAGATTGGCTGGATGGCCGTGCCCAAAGATTGGTGGAGAATGGAGTAAAATCCAGTTGGCAGCCGGTCACAAGTGGTGTTCCCCAGGGCTCGGTATTGGCGCTGGTTCTCTTTAATATTGTTATCAACGACCTGGACAAGGGGATTGAGTGCACCCTCAGTAAGTTTGCAGATGACACCAAGTTGGGTGGGAGTGTCGATCTCCTTGAGGGTAGGATGGCTCTACAGAGGGATTGATGGGCCAAGGCCAATGGTGTGAGGTTCACCAAGGCCAAGCACCGGGTCCTGCACTTGGGTCACACCAACCCCATGCAGCTCTACAGGCTTGGGGCAGAGTGGCTGGAAAGCTGCCCGGTAGAGAAGGACCTGGGGGTGTTGGTCAACAGCCGGCTGAACATGAGCCAGCAGCGTGCCCAGGTGGCCAAGAAGGCCAACAGCATCCTGGCCTGTATCAGGAATAGTGTGGCCAGCAGGACTGGGGCAGTGATCGTCCCCCTGTACTCCGCACTGGTGAGGCCCCACCTCTAGTACTGTGTTCAGTTTTGGGCCCCTCATGACAAGACAGACATTGAGGTGTTGGAGCGTGTCCAGAGAAGGGCAACGGAGCTGGTGAGGGGTCTGGAGCACATGTCCCGTGAGGAGCGGCTGAGGGACCTGGGGGTGTTCAGCCTGGAGAACAGGAGGCTGAGAGGACACCTTCTCGCTCTGTACAGCTCCCTGAAAGGAGGGAGTAGCGAGGGGGGGATCAGTCCCTTCTCCCAAGGAACAGGCGATGGGACAAGGGGAAATGACCTCAAGTTGCACCAGGGGAGGTTTAGGATGGATATTAGGACAAATTTCTTCACCAAAAAGGTTGTCCAGCACTGGAACAGGCTGCCTAGGGATGTGGTGGAGTCGCCATCCCTGGAGGTGTTTAGAAGATGGGCAGACATGGTGCTGAGGGACATGGTTTAGTGGTGGACTCGGCAGTGCTCGGTTAATGGTTGGACTGATGATCTTAAAGGTCTTTTCCAACCTGTGATTCTTGGGCTGCGCAGTGCTGAGGGCGAGGACTGGCGAGAGCAGCCTGGAGGACATGGTTGAGCCTGAGACTGCTGGCAGCGGAGGCAAGAGGGGCCGGGATGGGCTTTGCCGAGCACTGTGGGGCTCTCCGGGGGAAAATGCTACTTGCAAAGTGCTAAATAGTGTTACTGCTGGCCTGGCCCCGGGAGGGACCTCTCCGTAAGAGTGAATCTCCATCCCTAACCCTTGGTGATAAATAATAAAACGTTGCGTTTCTCTTCTCCCTCTCTCCTCAGCCCCCTCCAGCAGCCGTTTCTGGAGCAGTGGCCTATTTCACAACAGGCACTTTTGCAACGGGGGGGGGGGCACTCACTGCGGTGCAGGAATTACTCGCGGCAGCCGGGCGTGCTTCAACCGCGTCGCAACTCCTTTTTCTGGGGAGCAAAAGGGTCTTCGCTGCCCTGAGTTCGGCTGCCTCTGCCCCTCACAGAGGGTCAAAACCATCCCCAGGTCGAGCTCTGGCCATGGCTGCGGGGGACACGGGCACTGCTGGTTTGTGTTACCTGCTGAGCCCCTCCTGGTTTTAAATGGTTTTTCGGTCACCAGTCTGTGCTGGAGGGAAATGGGAGCTGGTATCGGCTTGCCAGCGGGGTCCATGTTGGCCCTCAGTTCCTTCTTCTCGTGCTTCGGCAGCGCTGGCGGTGAGTCCGGGCTGTGGGGGGTGAGATCCCGACCCCGCGCTGGGGCAGGGGTACCCCATGGAATGGGGGGGCTGAAAACACAGCCCGGGGCTGGTGCAGCTCCATGGCACCTGCCAGATCCCTGCAAAATAACACGGGTTTTTTTTGTCTGCAGCGGGTGATGAGTAACTGTGACTGTCACTGGGTCCTTTCCTGAGGCCACACTTCCCTCTGCTGGAAGGCCACATAGGCGCATCCTTCTCCATCCAGGAGATCACGTTTTCTGGGAGTGGAGAATACCCCGAAACTCCTCGACCCTGTGCTGAGTGAGGAAAATGTGCGGCATGACATTTTCACACCCCTTTCGGGAGCTGAGGCGAGGGGCGCAGCCTGGCCGGGCATCGCTCCTGCTCCTCACCCGCCAGCTGAGCCCGGGGGCAACTGAGTGGCCACGTGGAGTCCCCTCCTTGTCACCCTGACCCTGCTAATGCAGGGACAGCAGCGCAGGTCTAAGGGAGGAGGTGAAGGATGGGTTTGCCATGGTGTCAAAACCCCAAGGGGAGGGGGGGTGGGGTGCTATTTATACTGTGAACACGGAAACACCCCATCTTTGCGCTTTCGTTTGCCGCCCTGTGTGCAAGACAGCAGTGAGGGTCAGGGATGGGGAGGCACCGTGTCTGCCTTTTTGGGGTTGCCTTGCTGGTCATGGCCGTGGGCTTTGCAGGTGGGTGAAGGGAGAGAGAGAAAGTGTTTGCAAAATGGCCGGGAACGGAGGGCTCGGATCGCCCGCAGCATCCCACCACCCGTCAGGCTGTGGCCAGCTCCTCCTGCCCCATCAGCCATATCCCCCACTGCGGGTGGTTTTGGGGTCCCCCATCGCTCTGTGCCTGCAGTCCTGGGGTGAGGGATGGGGCAACGGGCTCCTGGGACCCCCCCTTATCTTCTCTTCTGAACCCTGTTTTTTCTGATGCTTAATTACCCCAAGCCCAGCCCCAGCAGGTGAATGGTGTCCTTGGGGGGTCCGTGCTGCTCTCCCCGGCTCTGCCCCCCAACAAGACGGTGAAGGAGATCGAATGGAGCTTTTCAGCTGGCGCCGGTGCCACCATCCAAGTGGCAGAGTTCGGCCCCGGCGGCTTCGAGCGCCCCGACCCCAAGGACCGGTTCAAGGAGCGGCTGGAGATGTTCAACACGACGGCGCTGAAGATCAGGGCCCTGGAGCGGGATGACAGCGGGGTCTACAGGGCTCGGATTAAACTGCAGCCGGCGCTGGTGGAGGATCAGTCCTTCAACCTCTCTGTCTACGGTGGGTGGTTGCAAAGGAGGGGATGGAGATTACAGAAATCCTTTATTTTCATCATGTGGCCCCTCTGCTTAGTGCAGTTGGGATGTTTCCAGCCCTGGAGACAGATTCGCCCCTTGTGTCCCCCTCCCTCCGTGTGTGCAAAGCGACGATTTACAGTCACGTCAAGCTGAGTTCTCAGTAAATTATGTGGTTTTCCTGGCTGCGAACAAGCGCCGTCCCTGCCCCCCGCCCGCCCGGGGCTCATCGCCGCTCAGCATCAGCCACGCACCGGGCTGCCGGCTGCGCGCCGGGGCCCCGCTCTCCCCCCGCACGGCACGCAGGCACTCGCCGCTCCCCACCT